TAAGTCAGTGCATATTGCCGAAAGCTGTCAGGAGAAGTCAGAACCTGTGATCTGAAGCGCTCTAGGGTTACTGATTTGCAGGTACGTTTACACGAGCACCGAGTGAGGGTCTTCGTTGGCCCGGACCTCACTCGGGCTCTCCGGGCCCCCTGCTCATTCGACTCAGATTTACCTACCCTTCGAAACAGGGGTGGACACACACACACACACACACACCCACACCCACACCCACACCCACACCCACACCCACACCCACACCCACACCCACACCCACACCCACACCCACACCCACACCCACACCAACACCCACACCCACACCCACACCCACACCCACACCCACACCCACACCCACACCCACACCCACACCCACACCCACACCCACGCACACACGCACTCACACGCACGCACACACATACACGCACGCACACACATACACGCACATACACCCACACACACACGCACATACACGCACATACACGCACATACACACCCACACACACACACACACCCACCCACCCACCCACACCCACACCCACACCCACACCCACACCCACACCCCCACCCACACCCACACCACACCCACACCCCACACCCACACACCCCCACCCCACCCACCCACCCACACACCCACCCACCCCCACCCACCCCACCCCACCACCCACCCCCACCCACACCCCCCCCACACCCACAACCCACACCCACACACACACACCCACACACCACACACACACCCCACACACCACCACACCACACACACCCACACACACCCACACACACACACACACACACACACACACACACACACACACACACACACACACACACACACACACCACACACACACACACACACACACACACACACACACACACACACACACACACACACACACACACACACACACACACACACACACACACACACACACACACACACACACACACACACACACACACACACACACACACACACACACACACACACACACACACACACACACACACACACACACACACACACACACACACACACACACACACACACACACACACACACACACACACACACACACACACACACACACACACACACACACACACACGGCATGGATCTTCACAATAGCTATACCAGCGCAGCTATCCTTCTGAACAAGTTCCCCAGCATCTACCACGGCATAGCGAAGAATCAAGCTAAGCCAGGAAAGATGCAAAACCCATATCCAGACGGGCCGAGGAGCCCCATAATTATGCGTACAAGCGCGCACACCCGTGAACATCCGACAAACAACGATTGCCGCAGCAAGACAGAACTTTTCTATTTTTTGCTTTGCATATGCAGGACATATGACATGCGTAGTTTTTTGTATTCCGTAACATATACTCAATAAGCACACTGAGCTAATGTAGACCGAGTAAATCGTACGAACGGTTGGTTGCATTACGGAATTGTTCGGTTTGAGACTGTTCGTCCTGCCCATTCGTTGCGGTCGCAGCAAGATACAGTGTGCGACTGTTCAGTTGCTCAGAGAGGGTTCGATCGTGGTCGATCGATGTTCATGTATACATACACATATATATATATATATATCAGAACCGCAGACACACAATGACCACATCCCTCACTGCTTCCCCATTGGTGCCCCTTTTCCACCCTCATATCTTGCAAGGTGTATGGGGATCACCACCAAACCACAGTGTTCCTGCAATCCAGACATTTTGGCCTTGCAACGCTGTGTGAACCTCAGGGAACTGTTGGCGCACATAAAAGTTAAGGTTGGAGAACTAAAGGTTTTCTCTTCGGCGCTCGCGTGCCCGCCAGCGTTCATTTTCTTGGCGTCTGTCGCCCCGCGAAGATTCATCCTGCGCTGTTGCGTCTGTCATCCTTCTACGATCTGCTATCATCCACCTGTGTCAAGAAGCGTTTCGTGTGTGCACCTTGGACTACGGCTTCAAGCAGGTAACTGGAGAGGGCCTTGAGCTTGGTTCAGCACCTGCCGGGTTTCCAGGTTCCCGTCTGGGGTCATAAAGAGCTCGTGTAATTGTGACGGAAACTGTTTACCTTTTACCAAACAGCGACCAGAAACAGGACGTGGGCCACACGTGCATGGTGCAGACTCTTAAATAGCCAGTGGCAGAACTTTGCTGGTTGTGCCTTATTTATTTGGTCTATCTTAGAAAGCTTGAGCCTTTTTCGGGCCCGGTTATTACATAAGCAAGGATTAGAACGCCTCGCGAGCCAGTTGAGTGTGGCGGAGAATCGGCAGTTGATCGAGATTCAAAGCGCCAAGTGCCAGACCCTCACTTTGCCGTATGAATACATTCGAGAACCTGTTGGTGAAGGAGAGTTCACCGTGGAGTCAGATCGGGCAAAAGCTGCCGCGATTGTCAAAAGGATATTCCAGAACAAATTGGTGTATTACTTGAGACGCGGCAATCTCCACAACTACCGTGTTTTTCTGAATCTGCAGCGAGTTCACTTTAGGAATCTTCCTGTTGAGCCGATGGACGACATCATTCCGGGTTTCAAGAGTGATAGCATGGATCCCGCCACCTTTTTTTGCGAGAGTTTCATGTACCAAAACGGCTTCCGAGACGTGTCAGACCGTGACGAAGCTGGATGGACACCCATCTGCTACGCAGCGCTTGGGGGAAATGCGATGCTCCTTTCATCGCTTGTGGAGAAGAAGGCAGACCCCAGAGATTCAATCACCAAGAGTGACCCGAAGCTGTTCATGACATCAGGGGCCACTCTGCTGACCATGTGCGTGTTCTTGCGGCATCATGGAGCCTTGAGGCTACTACTGGAACGCAAGGCAGATGCTAACGCCACAGATGGCTTCACGTCCACACCGATGCACTACGCTTGCGTCAACCACAACGTTGAAGCTATTCAGATTTTGCGTGATGCAGGTGCTAACGTGGACGTAGTCAACAAGCTGCAGCACTCTCCTCGCATGCTTGCCGGAGGTGCAGGTACTGGCAGCGGTTCTGAAGATGTCATTGAGTATCTTCTCTCCGATGCACCTCAATCGGAGATCAACTTTGCGCTGCACTACTGCATCCTGTTTGCGGGTGTCTCCGTGGATGTGGTCAGTGCGCTTATCCGCAAGGGAGCCGACATCAACCAACAGCTGGTCCTACCGCGTTTTAGTCCGCTCGGCATGGCCTTCACTTATTTCAGCTGGCGACATCGCTGGAGCCCTACAGCTGCAGCTCGGCTCACACGTGTCGCCTGATCTTCAAGCTTGATGCAGGTTGCTGACTCCCCTTTTGTCCAGTGCTTGAAAGCGACTTGTGTGTGCCCTTGAGGTGAGCTTCTACGCGATGCATCATTCCAGAGCCAGCCCCTTGATGTGTTGCATCATATGTGGCTGCTTTGATGCAGCAGCAGCCCTCATCGCTGCTGGTGCTCGCCTTGACTTGAAAAACATCCGTGGCAAGACGGCTGCAGATTTGGCCCACGAGAACGGTGCTCCGGACTTCCTCCTTGAAGCTTTGCAAGCAGGCCCAGCAGGCCCAGCAGGGCCAGGCGGCCCCGGGGCCCGACAGCGCCTGGACCTGGAAGGGACTCTGTCCGTCCAAGTGTAGGTACGCATTTGGCGTGCCTGTTCTTCCAACAGTTTCCCGATTTTTGAATCGTCTGCAGCTCAAAGCTCCAGGCGCCCCGAGCCCGAATGTTGTCCTCTTCGCACTTACAGGAACTTTCCGAAGGTGCTTGCACTTCGTTGAACGTAGCCATTTGGAGGGGCAGACGCCATCTGGCCTGCCAAACGAATTCAAGATAGATTGAGTGATCTTGCACCGGAAGAAGCTTTTTGCTCCCGTCTCGCGGCATCTGTTTGGATGCTTCAACCCTGGAATGAACGACACTGTCTCAGGGGGACCTAGCAGCTGCCGACGCCTTGTCGGTTCTGGCATCCTACGAGGTCCGCAGGTTTGTGAGTGTGACGTGGCATTCAGGATTGTAATTCGGTGTAGTCAATCGCATCCGCTTCTTCACTTCGTTGGAAAGCCCGTTCAGCCCAAACTCTCTTTGCGTCTTTGGTGTTCCTGCGAGGTCCCGGCAAATCAACTGCCTCTTCGTAGTCTGCGGAGAGTGCTGCAATGGCTTGGAGTCGACGTGCCATGGCTCGTCTAGACTCTAGACAAGGCAGACTGCTGAACCGTGCGATCAGCAACTGTTTTTTCTTACACCTTCATTGGCACGGGGGAGCTTGCCCGAAGAGATCCTCCTGCCTTTTCCGGTGCAGCAGCATCGGCTGTGACGACTAGTATAGCTGTTGACTTTTCGGGCCCCAATGACGATGAAATTCTGAAGTGCGTGCATTGCATTGGTATTACAGAGAAAAACAGCAATGCTGGTTTCGTTGTAAATCCACCGCACCGCCACGTCGCTTGAGCCTTTCGTAAGGGATGTTGTTTTGGGTGCCTTGAGATGCAGGGAGTTCCATCGTCCTACCGTTGGCCGAGCCTAGGCCCGGAGCCTCGAGGAAGTGCTGCCGGCAGTGCAGCTCCCGAACCCTGGGGATGCCCAGGCGCCGTCATGGCTTGGGCCCTTTAGCCTTGAACGAGTCGTCGAGTCATTTCCGGTTGTCAGTACGGGTTTCGGCCTTCCACTTCAGCACGCCAGGAGCCAGAGTTCCGTCTCCGCCTGCAGAAACTTCGCATCGTTTACCAGGCTCGCGGGTTTGTCATTCTCTGCTCTGTCTAAAGACGCACAGGCATGAAATCAGAGTTTCAATTGCAACACAGTCCGGGGGCGGCTGGGGGGTCTGTTTGCTGAGGATTTTGCGCAGCGGCTGGAGAAAGGACTCGGCCGAGCACAGCTGCAACTGCGGCCTCCCGAGGCGGAGCGGCGCAGCAGACGCACCACAGAGCACCACAGCCACACGCACGGTGGCCGAGACAATGTCGTGCTTCTTTCACAAGCCTGCAAACCCTGAGACTCGTGTTCGTTCGCTGCATCGATTCCCTGGCAGGCCCTGGTGGTGCCCGCACCGCCCTCCCCACCGGCAGATCTGGAGGCTTCCTTCGACTGACTCCGAGCTTTGCATTTCTAAAGTCTTGCTAGGGGTGCTGGCAGGACTCGTGTGCCTTGTGGCGCAGAGCGTTGTAGCCGTGTGAATATGCAGGTCTTCATTAAACCTGTTATTTTTTTTGCCAGCGCGCTTACACGTCAACCGTTGCTGGTGCATTGTGCGGGTGTCCATGGCAACTGGCGATTAGTAGTATCGGACATGGTGATGGTGGTGGCAACCACGGAAGTGACAGCTCGCAGGAACGGCTATCGTATTCATCATGTTCGCACGGGTCTCCAAACTCTCCAAAGGCCCGCTGCCATGCGGCGCAGGCGCGAGAGTCGGCCGCAAACAGGCCTGAGCACCATGTCTTGGGGTATTTGGAAGTTCAGGTTTTCCTCCCAGCCTAGCACTTATGACACAGGTTTGCCACAGGTCTATGCACCAGGATCTCTTGTAGTGCAATAGCCTCACAAGCGACATGGCGAGGCGGTGTGTGGTGCTGGAGCAGGCCAGCCATGAAATGGGCGCCTCTTTACACTGTGTTCTTTTTGAGTTCGCCTGTGCAGTTTCGGCCGAATGCACGGATTGGGCGGGTGATCGTCGTAAGTACTGCACGCATAGTCGGAAAATCTTTGCCAGGAGGTTCGCACAAAGGATCGCATTGCGAAGGAGTTGCAGCGTCAGGCAAGGGGCCAGTGGCAGCTGGTAGCTCCACAGAAGGCTGTTCTCTCTACAAGATTACTTCCGACAAATTCAAGCGGGGGCATCGCCACTTGGGGTGCTATGACGGCTATAAGAGGTGGGGGAGCTGGATCACTTGGTGGAGCGCCTGGAGTCCGAGCTCTATGAGGAGCGTGGAAGCAAGGTGAATCTGATGGTTACCCGGCAGCAGCGAAATTTAACCAAGTAGTAGAATCTTAGAACCAACCCTTTGCCAACAGACAGACATGTTACCGCGGACAGTGCCTGCATCCGAGCCGCTAGCCCCAGAGATGCAGGAAATGATCGCCTGCCATGTTTCTGCGCTGAGGCACAGCTCAATGCCTCGCTGCCCAAGGCGGAGGTGGAGCCCAAGCTGCGACAGCTCGAGGAGCACCGGAGCACTCAATGAACGTGCCTCGCGCGTCTCATGGCGAAACCTGGTCGGCATGTCACGCCTCGCTGCAGGAGCTGAAGTTTCAGGTGGACCAGTGGAGTTCTCAGAGGAGGATGTTGGCAGTGTTTTCGGCTGGCCGATGCACTGAATGACTGGTGGTTCGAGTTGCAGTTCCGTCGGAATCAGCGGAGTGTTTATGTTCAGCGTCGAGTTGTTGTCACAAGGTCCAGCTTAGCGTTGAAGCAGTCCAAGGCGAGGTGTCCGCTTCACGGCCAGGGGCAGGGGCAGCCGTCCCCACTAGGGCAATGTCCATTGTCCTGTGAGGATCTGGCCCGGGTCTGCGCTGCCCAGGCGAGACGGAGACGGAGAAGACCTGCCGCTGAAGTTCCCCTTCCCTCGTGGCGCCCCTGAGGCAGAGAGCTACGAGCAGCTGGTGAAGCGTCGACAGCAGGAGGTGAGGAACCTGCAGGCTCGGCCAGTCCCGGTCGAAGCACTGGAAGTGCCTGGCACATGTCGCCAGGAGTCGGTGAAGATGCTACAAGCGGGCGATGAGGCCACCTGACCGCGCTATGAAACTGTCACTGCCCTCGCTTCCCAGAAGGCCGCAGCAGAGCCAATGTACCGTGTAGCCCATTCAATGTCTCGCGAGGTCGCCAACACTGTTGGCAAGCTGCAGTACAGGCTGTTGCTTTGTCAGTGGGAGAAGGGCAATGTGCAGCGACAGCTGCAAACAGCCACTTGTCAGCCATGTCCTTCACGGATGCCCATGGGTCGTGTCCCATCTACACGGCTGAGCATTATCCTTCACCCAAGCAATTGACACCACCAACAAGCGCGACCCCACAAAGAGTTTCAGGGGTGGCTGTTGCAGTAAACTCATCTCCATTCAGCTCCGACTCGTCGTTGGTGTTGTCCGGGCAGTTTCGGGTGAGTCATATGCGTTACGATTCAAACTACGCAGTAGAAACGAGTGGAGCCTGTGTTTCACCGAGGCCACACAGGACTTGCGACAAGCACGGCGTGAGCTGCTGGAGAATGAGGAGCAGGCCTTCAGATCCACAATGGGGTGTCACGGTGAAGGAACCGGCAAGGGTCTGCGGCCTGTGTCGCATATGCACGTCGGAATACTCACCACTACCACGACTATTTCTGCTGCTGCTTGTCCTGCTACTCTTGCCGGCAATAGTGCTGACACTCGTTCCACTGATTCCAATGCTACTTACTACTGCTGCTGCTGCTGCTGCTGCCACTACTACTATTACTGCCACGACTGCTACCACTACCACAGCTACCAATACTACTTGTGCGTGGACCACCGCTACGACCCACCGCCACCACCGCTGCCAAGCATCCTGGTGAGCTGGCGCTGCGTCAGGTTGAACAGGAGCGGCAGGAGCACGACCAGACTGAGGAGCACAGTGCTGGAGCTCTCCCCGCAACATCTCAAGTAGCTTCACTTCGTGCTGCGAGGAGCTCCTGAGGCATCGCCTGACCGAGGCATCCACGCAGGCGTCAACGATCGGTGGGGTGGCCGGTGCGTCAAGCAGCTTCGGATCAGCATTCTTCTTGAGAGACAGTGTGCTTTTCAAGTGACTCCTCCAACTCACTTACATGCTTTCCAGCAACACTCCCACGGTACGCATTCTGATTCTCGGCATGTCCTGTCTTCACGCCCCAGGCTAGGGATCGAAGAAAGCGGGCCCCGCAATTCCCGCGAAAGGCTGCGCAGCTCGCGGAGCAGAGCGCAGCTGCGATGCCCGTGGACAAGGCGCAGCAGCTACGCAGAAAACGGTCTGTCTTGAGACAATTGCAGGTCGCTGACTTGTATCAGCTACAGCTACGGATAACAGCAGCATTGTCATCAGCGTAGTCACCGCCAGCTAGTATAAGAAGTATTTTGCTTCCCGGAGCTAGCATGGTTATTGCCAGCAGCAATGTCGACTAGCATACACAGATCTTGTTGATGTGCAGAGAAAATCTACGTTCGCACTGGATGCAAAGCTTGTCATGACTGGTTGCTTTATTTGCTTGTTGTTATTGCTGCTGCTTTTCCGTCTTCCACCACTACCACTACCACTACCAGTCACTATCACTATACCGCTGCTGCCACGACCACAGCTACCACCACGCCTTTTACGACTGCCACTACCACTACGTCCACCACCACCACCACGACTGCCGTTGCTACTACTTTTTGGCCTTTCTGTACTTGTACTAGCGCTACTGCTCCTTCTCCCGCTCTCCTGCTGCTGCTGCCACTGCCACTGCCACTGCCACTGCCACTGCCACTGCCACTGCTACTGCTGCGTTTGCCATGGTAAGAATATTCCAGTTTTGGTAATGGCCAGTAACATGACTATGCTGCTTGCGAAGATAATGATAGGTGTGAAGAAACGAGACTGCTCGGAGGCAAGGCAGCTGACCTCGCGGCTTGAGGAGATCTCCAGCCGCAAGATGGAGCTGGAGGAGATTGTTTCCGAATGTTTCGGACTAGCCTACCAGCCGAAGGGTACCGCAGTTGACAACGTAGTAAGCAGCAGCTACAGGAGCAGTAGAGGGAATAAGAACAAAACGAGAGCATGCTCAAGAGTCCGACGGTATATACAAGCGCCGCTCAGAATTAAGTTTTGCACATCTGCGGTTAGAGTCGACATGGATTGCAGGACGAAAGATGACGCAATGATAGCGGCAGTACGAAGAGTACTGTGTCAGCTAACTTAACATCTCAGACTCTTCTCTCGCCAGGAGCGCCTGTCGAAAGTCCGCTTGGAGCTGCTCCGAAATCAGGCCCAGATGCTTTCCTCGGAGAACTCGCGGGCGACCCCTATACTCCGTCCTTGAAGGCCGAGACGGACTCCTGCCGACTTCGAGCACAACAAGCTCAGGAGCTGCTGATGGAGCTGAAGGCACCTGGTGCGAGCGATAAGCCTAGCAAGTGTCGCTGGAAGTCGTAGTAATTCGAAAGAGGAGTACTAGTAGCAGGAGCAGGAGCAGGCGTAGGTCCTTCAGGTGTAGTAGTAGTAGTAGTAGTAGTAGTAGTAGTAGTAGTAGTAGTAGCAGTAGTAGTAGTAGTGGTAGTGGTAGTAGTAGTAGTAGTAGTAGTAGTAGTAGTAGTAGTAGTAGTAGTAGTAGTAGTAGTAGTAGTAGTACTATAGAAGTACTATAGAAGTACTATAGAAGTACTATAGAAGTAGTAGTCGTAGTCGTAGTAGTCGGCGTAGTAGTAGAACAGCAGGTGGTTTAGTTGAGTTTTAGTAACAGTAGTAGTTCTCGTTCTCGTCGTCGTCCGCGTAGTAGCAGCAGCAGGAGTAATTAGTAGCAGCAGGAGCAGTTGCTGCAAGAGCCCTAGCAGTTTCAGTACCTGCTTGTCAATGCTGGTTATGGTCATGATGCCACCGCAAGCACAGCGGTTACAAGAGAAGTTGCAGCTTCTGCGGCAGTAAAGTTTTCACAAGCTCTTGCACAAACTGCGTTGCAAGACTGTTTCACCATAAAATGATTCCATCTTCTCTTCCGCGTCGAACTGGCGTCTCCTGCACAGGCTCTGGACCCAGACTCCGAGGCGCCGAGGCAGCGTCTCCTGGAGATGGCCAAGTGCCTGGGAGCAGAGAGGGTTTGGCGTTGTAGGGTTGGGGGCCTATGGTTGGGGTTGAAGGGAAATGCAAGAGAGTCTGGACCTGATGCAGACGATACTCGGTCGATCGGCTCGTGATTGGACTTAGAGTCGGTTTCTTGAGAGTTTCCTGCCTGCAGCGTTTTCGGTTGTGGTTTGGTGGTTTTGGGGTTTGTAGGTAGCTTTTTCCCTGCAGAGGTTAGCATTCGGGCCTGAGGCGCAGCGATCTAGCGATCACGGCGTCCACTTAGAGACGTTAAAGCACGAAGCACTGTTGTCAAGGATTCTGCTGGGGATTGCTTTTCTCTGCGTGGTTCTTGCCAGGTCGTGCAGCTGTCCAGGTGAAATAAACGTCTGCTACCGAATACCACAGCCCCTCGAACGGTCTTTCCACTGAGCACTGAGGGACAGGCCGTTGCTTCTTCCGGGGGTGCAGGTGTAGTTATCTATGCTCTCTCGGTACTTGTAGCACGTTGCAACCAAGGAAGCTGGCAGATTCCAAGTTGCAGGACCTGCCATCCGAAAGTTATCGCAGTGGACGTCAACGAAGAAGAGAGGTCACTTCCAGTAGCAACTGAAAGCAAAGGACTTAGTAGTGGACATGTTGTCAAACATGTTGTCCGTCACTTCGCTTCATACTGCAACTAGTGCTGTATCTTTCTTGTTGTTTGTGCATGAATCTACACCTGTTCCATCCCGTTACTGACATGCGGACTGAGTGTGGGTCGACAGCCACATCATTTTTTATTGCCTTTGTTTTGCAGTCCTTCACTTTGGCAGTAGGGCAACGGAAATTAATACGTATGCGTCATGCCCAGATGCGTCGTGAGACTCGGCAGGAGTTGCAGCACAAGCGGAGCCTGGAAATCGTGAAGGCAGGATGTCACAGGGTGTGGTCAGTAGTAAGGGTTCCACTGGGGGCATCGCCGCATCATAAGACATGCGGCTGAGCACTTTCAGGAATGGAGACGTGCCGAGCAGAGCATAAGACCCGCTTCGACTTTGATTATAATCTAGATTACACCCTGAGTTTTTTGCGGCTCAACTGCACTTATTGACCTACTGAGTGGTATCGTAAAGCATGCCTCCAGACTGGATCGCCTATGTCCTTGTCCTGGACAGCCGTGTTGTGCAGCAAATCATCTGCCGTCAGTCCGAGTCTTAAGCGACACCAGGAACAGCACCAGCAGCTGGAGAAAGCACGACAGGCAGGGACAGACGGCATGTGGGCCACGTGATTTTTAAAGAAAATCAAGTCATGCTCTGCCTTCTACCGTCAGGCGGACGAGAAGGAGATCCAAAATCTGCAGCGTGAGGTTGCCAACGCAGAGTCCAAGCTTGCTGACCAGGAGCACTGTAGCACTTGGCGGCAAGAAAAGACTTGACGAACTGTCGAAGATGATCCTCCCCGAAACCTTTCGATTCAGCAGCCTGCGATCAGGAGCAGCAATGGCGTGCAAAGGTTCTCGAGGCAGCCGGGCAAAGGGGCAATGCTGCGCTTGGGACCTTGGGACCTTGGAAGGCGCAGGGTGCCGCCCCGGCGACTGCTGTCCGCCGGGCAGGGCAGGCACTGGCCTTGGCATTGTGTACAGAGTCTGTGCGCCTGCAAAAATCAGAAGAAAGGCACTCTCTGTCTGTGTGGGAGCCTGATCTCTCGCCAGATCAGCATCGAAGCTCTGGAGGAGATTCAAGGCAAAGTTTCCGAAAGGGACGCCAGGCCAGCATGGTGCATGGCTGCATCCAGCTTGCACTAGAAGCAGGAGTTCTGTGAAGTGAAGTGGCCAGGATCGCAGTCCTGGAGTCCGACCTCCAGAAGTCCAAGGCGGACCGCGAGAGCGCCCTGGCCGAGGAGCGTGCCAAGGCCCGGCGAGCGAAAGCAGGCCCCAAGTGAAAGGCACAGCCCTCTCCTCCCTCCAAGGCGCCTCACGCGACGCATGCGATGCGATGCGACCACGCGGCCAGGTTCGGAAGCTCGAGCTGGAGCTGGGCTTAGTGGCTGAGGGCGACATGGCGAAACTGCGCCAGGCCTGCAGGGCTTCGAAGGGCTTCGGCCCAAGTCTTGCTTCGCGTTCCGCTCCTTGGACGGCCCCCGCATCGCAGGCCTTGCGTGCGGAGCACGATGCAGAGGTTGCCCAGATCTCACAGGCGGCACAGGAGCTCACACAACCCGTGCCCTGCAGACTCCTGCTGTCGTTAATTGCACGCATTGCGCGGCCGCACCGCAGAGGCAGGACGAGGGAGCGGAAGGTGCACAGTTGAAACCAGGAGTCCGTGCAAACACTTCAGCAGCTCCTGGACCAGACAGAGGTGGGTCTTCGATGTTTGGAGTCCGTAATGGGTCTGTACGCGCTGCATGGACCGATCAGCTTTCGTGGTCACGATGAGGACTTAATGTTGCTTGTCTCTGAAGGAACACCTGCAGAGGCAGCAGCAAGACACAGCGCGCAGTGCTTGGCATCGTCCCGCGATTTTCCGGCTCTAATCCTGCAGTGCACCACCCAGGCGCTTGCATCAGAATCTTTCTGAGCAGCGAGCGAAACATGCAGAGGACTACCGTCGTCGCATGCAGTGAAAAGCCAGTCGCGGTTTCTTGATGTGACAGACGCGACATTTCGCCTGACCCGCCCATCCGTGAGGAGACTATGCAGTTGCAGCAAGCCCGGCCAGATTGACATACACGGCGTGAGATGGATTGCTGGGCCGAGCTATACAGAAAGCTTTCCGATTCTCGATTCTCGGGTTTCAAGGCAGGAGCAAAGTAGGAATAGGATTGAGAAGTCGCAGGCAAGAGATCGCCGGACTGCGACAAGAGCTTTTCCAGGCCCTCCGTGGCAGACTTGGGCTGTCGCGAGATCAATTGATGTAAATTTGCTGAAAGTGTGTTTGCTTTTCGGATGCCTGGTGCCAGATCCGGCATCAGCAGCAATCCGATGTGGGGGCATCGGTTGGAGCCTTGCGGACGTCACTTCAATGCATAGGCGGAGGAGCAGCCGGTGTTCAAGCAGCGTCTCAGGCCCGGCTTTCACCTTTGCCGCCGCCCCCGCCGGACGAGAGCCTCTAGCCTGCAGATTTGGAGTTGCATGATGCTGCTGTGCACTTCAATCATTGGGTTGCTTGCGTCCTACCGATGACATTGTTGCATGGCCATGGTTATTATGCGCCAAGACGCACATGCCGGCTTTGGCAGAGCCAGCAGCAGCTCTCTTGACGAGCTCTGATTGACAGCTGGCCGGTTCAGCCATCCGCCTTGCGTTGAAGGTGCCCGGCTGGGGGATTCCATCGGCTCTGAAGCCTTCGGTGGAATGGAAGGTGCCGTCGACGGGCTCTGCGTTTCGGACTTATCGGATGGTTTGCCATGTTTGCTGCAGACGTCCGGCAATGGCAAACGAACCGAAGATGACTTTTTTGGACTCATCCCAGATCCACTGCTGTCGCCATTCGTCGAGTAGACGACAGGTCTGGGCAATCGGCTGGATGAGCAGAGGGAGCAAGCAGGGCGTCTTAGTTTCTTGCTGAAAATCTTGTCGAGCTGACTTCCTCTCCTGCCGCACTGCGGAAGGTCGTTTCGCTGCACCACCGGCTTGAGCAACAGCACGAAGAATTCCAAAGCCTCCTTGATCAGCAGCACCCTGACTAAATGTGGTCGGAGCCCAGTTTATTTCGCGCCTTTTCGCTCACGAATATAGTCTGGGCGGGTGAGAGGTTGTAGATTGTAGAGCAAGTCTGGACCGGCTTCCAACTGACAGATGAGTTTAGAGAGCATCTTGCCCTCCCAACTCACTTAAGGCATCAAGAAGCTCGGCGGCGAGAAGAGCAGCTGCGAGGCGCGGCTGCGATGGGCGAAGCGCGATCCCACGCGGCTGCGGGCACGGCTCCGCGACGTCGCAGGCCGCGAGGAGCGCCTCCACCAGGCGCGAGAGCCGAACTCACAGCAGGGCAGAGGGGCAGGGCAGTGCAGGGCGGTTCAGGGCGGGCAGGGCTGTGCCGTGGTGAGGAGTACCAAGCGCGAGAGCAGCGACTTCTGGACCTCCAGGAGGTGTGGCATATAGGGCCTCCTTGAGCATGCCAAAGCTTCGTGACGCTAGCGCCGTGCAGGGACAGCGTCAACAGCGGGACCAGGAGCTGCTGCGCATCAAGGAGGAGCGCGTGGTGAGAGGGACGAATCACTCTCGCCTCGTGCCAACGTGGCGGCGCAGTTGGGACAGACTGATTTTGACAGGGTCCCTGATCATGCTGGAAAACTCCCCGGCCTCAAAACTTCAGGAAGACTTACATGACTCGACATGTAGCAAACTCAGTATACGTTTCAAAAACGCTCCTCGAGGAGCTGGCCTCGCTGCATTCGGCCAACGGTGCAAACGCCGAGGTGCCTTGCCCTGGTCGCCGGCTTTGGCGCGCCTTTTCCCCTTTGATTGCCCACCATAGCTCTGCCAAAGACAGGTTTTGGTTGCGCCAGTGTAGCAGTGGAGCACGAGACACATCGGACTCGATTGAAAGCTAGTCGACTTCGGCTCTGCCGAAGCTAGGCTCAGCAACAGCGGGAGGAGCAGGCCAGAAGCTCAGTGCAAAGCCACGCACAGACAGTAGGCAGAAAGAGCTCCATCGATCTCTGTGTGTTTTTGTGTATGTACGTGTGTATGTATGTATTTACATAGTAGTAGCATATGTTTCTTCTTCTTGTCTGCAGGCTTGAGTCCCGCACGTAAATTCGTGAAACTGGGGAAGACAAAGAAAGAACCTACAGCCTCGTCGGTGTCCTAAGTCCCCATGGCATGCGTTGGAACCCTCCTTGGCAAAACCAGCCAATAGAGGGCACAAGACAACTGGCCGCGGGCCCAGAAAAGCGGACGTCGACTGGCGAACTTTGCCATGCAAGTGCAGCGCTTCAGGTTTCACAGGCCCCTTCCAGCCAGGATACGTGCCGGATAGCGGCAGCCAAAGGCACACTGCACGGAAAGGGGTGCGTGTAGCACCGCAGCGGAGGATCGTCAATCCAGAAAGAGACCCGATCGCCGCTCAATACAAGGGAGAAAGTTAGACTGTGAGACAACACCGCTCCCCAAGAGGCGCGCAGAAGTCCAGAGGCACAGGACCCTCAGACGGTTCCCTCAACAAGTCACAGGCAAGTTCGGGGTCTCTCTTGCGCCTTTGGACGTGCGCTCCAGGCCCGGACAGTATGTATCTGCTGTATATGTATATATACACATATGCATACATATCTACAACCGTATATACATGCATAGATACAAACGGACAGGCACAGTATGCAGTTAATTTGACACATACCTCTACCTGTGTATATTATATATATGCATATATATATATATATACACAGCTGTGTATATAAACAGATGTACGTCTTATGCGTGTGTATGTATGAGGGTAGATAGGTAGATGTATGATGATGTATGTAATTGTGTTTATGTGCTTGTGTGTGTATATATGTATACACAAGCTGCATGTTTCGGTATGTATACATATGGGTATATATATATATAATGTTCTATTATATCATATCATACTAAATTATATGTATATGCGGATATATATATATATATATATATATATACACACATGTATCTCTCTCTCTCTCTCCCCTCTCTTCTCTTCTCTCTTCTGCCTTCCTATGGGCTGACTTGCTGCTTGAAGTCTCAGGTGGCCGAGGCGCAGAGGCACGCAGACCTGGCGCTGCAGCACAACGCCTGGGCCCCCCCCGGCGCCGCGTCGCCGCGTCGCCGCGTTTCGAGTCTGATGCTGACCGGCGCCGCTCTTAGGCCCTTGCGGAGCAGAACCGACTTTCAGCTGAAAGCTGGCAGCGCAAAGCAACGGAGCTCGAGGCTTGTCATGTCCAATGATGTTCGCTGTTTCTATCACTATCGTTCATGGTATGACAGTACAGTATATCCGAGGCATTGCCAGTTTTCATATCTCAATCTGCCTGAGGTCAGATCTCTAAGTTGTTGTTGACGTCGGCGTTGCTGTTGCTGCCGACCGATGCAGGCAGAGCTCCAGAAAGAGCGCCAGAAGCACCAGGTGCTGCCGTTCGGTTGAATGCCGACTGAAGAATGCAACGCATGTGCACCTGTAGTTCCTGTGGCACCTGACGGCACCGGACATCTCTCAAACGAAAACTGTAAGCACTTTAGTTCTGCGAAGGCTCTGTGTGGTGACGAACCCTCGATACCGCTGGCTCCAGTGACATTGCAGTCCGCCATGCTGTCGAGGAGTCCACTATGAGGAAGCAGCAGGCATCTCTCCGAAGGCAGCTGGCCAACAAGGAGGACGAACCAACCGGGATGGCAAAGCAGTCACGGGGAGCACCCTGCAGGGATAAGTTGATTACATCACCGCAGCATCGGCGGATCAAAGTAACGGTTTCCTGCCTGCTTGTCTCCTTGCCTTCTGCCTTCGCAGCGGCAGCTCGCAAAGCTGAAGGCCACCGGCTGCTAAGTGGGAGGAAACATGGGGGAGGGTTTAACATGGCGCCGGAATCGGCAGTGTCAGCAGCTGCAGAACTTGCACCTTTGCCTTCCGCTTCCCAGTTCGCCCGAATCCGACTTTATGGGCTGTTCATCGAGTGCTGGCCGGACGCTCAGACACCGCAAAGTTTGCGCCACTGGTCTCACTTTGAGCTGGCAGTTCTTAGTTGAAGCATTGCGGTCTGAGTCTGTGCCCCAGCGCTACGGGAAACAAGGCCGCCTCCCAACAACGTTCGAACGGCAGACAGCCCTCCGTGAAGTGGCTTCCCTAAGCCCAAAGCAGCCAAAGAAAACTCAAATCGGAGCAAGACTGTCTATCTTGGGCAAGTCAGGTGTCCAAGAGACGATGCCAGGGCACACCATTCAGTACGATGCCGCCCGACTCATCTCTTCTAGCGGTGCCAGCTTGGGTTAAACCGGTGACCTCGAACGATTCGTCGGTTGCTAGCAGCTTCCCAATGTGCCACCCGCCGGAATTGCTTGAAACACAAACTCCTCAAGAGCATCCTAGCTGCTTGTGCGTAGCCGTCCAGCACTCGGTGTTTGTTGCTGACACTTGCGCCTGTTTCGAGTGTAGCGGCCACTCCGACAGACGAGGAAGCAAACCTAGGGGCGCATTGTTAACCTAAAATCAGAAAACCTTACGACGCGCGGTCAGGGCCCTGGCGGCCCATCAGTCCGATCAGTGCCATTCGGAGCGTCTCGGCTTTTGCAGCCGCTCTGGATTGTTGGGCATCGAGCATCTCAACAAGCTTGTGTCTTTTGGTGGCCATGGAGAGGTGCAAGTACTGGTATGTGTGTGCAGCTTCGGACCCGGGTTATGTGGGTACAGCGGGGCTCAGCATTCACTGCAGTGGCCCTGACAGTCTGACAGTCATGCAGTCTATCTGTCATGAGGAACGCCAGAACAGCTACCATTCGATGATTTGCACTGCCACAGAACTTTGTCAGCAAGATGAGCGGGCCGGACCCGACCTTGCTGCACCTTCTTGTAGCGATGGTCTGCTGCGGGAGGTAAGGTTGCAGTAGCTGTGGTTGCGCTAGTGATGCTGCCAGTGGCTGGTGGTTGATTGTGATGTAGCTGCAGCTTCTGTTCTACTGCTGTCTATACTACTGCTTTCTATGCTGAAATGCAACACTAGCTTATCATGAGCCGTGGTGAATTCTTGACACCAGACTAGTCATGCTACCGATGGCGGGTGTTGGTGCCGGCGGTTGCCGTACCAGTAGCGATAGTAGCAGCGCAGCAGCTGCAGCAGCATCAGCAGGAGTAGTATTAGTAGTAATAGTAGTAGTAGTAGTAATAGTAGTAGTAGTAGTAGTAGTAGTAGTCGCAGTCGTAGTCGTAGTCGTAGTCGTAGTCGTAGTCGTAATCGTAGTCGTAGTCGTAGTCGTAGTCGTGGTGGTGGTGGTGGTGGTGGTGGTGGTGGTGGTGGTGGTGGTGGTGGTGGTGGTGGTGGTGGTGGTGGTGGTGGTAGTGGTAGTGGTAGTTGTTGCAGAAGCAGCAGCAGCAGTAGTGGTTTGGTGGTGGTGGTGGTGGTGGTGGCAGTGCCATTTGTGGTAGTGGGAGTAGCAGCAGCAGTAGTCGTCGTCTTGGTAAAGGCAGGCCTTGTCTGCTGCTGCTGCTACTACTACTACTGCCACTACTCATGCTCCTTTTTTGTGTCTTTGTTGTTTGTTATTGTGTTCGTTGTTACAATCATCAGCCGTCGAGCGTATACCGGTATCAGTTGCATTGGAGCTTTTTTGTTGTCGCGTCTACATGTTCCGATGGTTTTTTGTTGTTGATATTGGAAAGGTGCCGGTGTCACGGTGTCGGTGCTGCTCCGTCTTTTGGTGTGGTGGCCGTACGTGTTGCTGTTCTACTTTTCCACTTATTCCTTCTAACCTGTAGCTGTTATGGTCAGGGTTTCTGATCTTGTTATTGCCCCTTCTGCCAGCAGTGGTCGCTCTTGTCGTGTGATTTCTGACTGCTGCTGATCCTGGTTGTGCTGGTCGTGGTGCGTGCCCTGGAGGATAGTGGAGGCACTGGTGCTGTAAGTTGTTTCTGATCACGATGCGTGTCGAATGGTTTATTCTGGACCATGGGTCATGGATGTCGTGATTGTGCGCAACTCGGAGAAGGTTCATTGGGCCTGAGGAAGAAGACTCTTCCCGCTCTGCGTTCTCGTAGACGTCTGCCCCAAACAAGCCAGGATATGCCGCCAGCAAGTAGATGAGTGCCCTGAGGAAGCGCGCCATCCATCCCCACCGAACGGCTCGTCACATGCTCGACACCTGAAAGAGTCTCTTTGGCTGGTTTGGTGGGAATCATAGCAACAGGAAGCTTCAGGAGGTAAGACAAGATGTCAGATTGAGCAATTGATCTCTGTGCATACGCTCCGAACCCGAATAAAAACGAATTCACGCCAGCTGCCGCTCCCACAGCCTTGCGAGATAGGCCAGACATACAGCAAGCAGCAGGAAGTAGCAACAACAACAACAACAACTACAGCAACAGTTGCACCACCACCTGCACCACCAGCACCAGCACCAGCGCCACCAGCACAAGCACCAGCACCACAACCACAACCCACAAGCAACAACAACACCAATAACAACACCAATAACAGCACCAACAGCACCAGCAGCAGCAACAACAACGAGGACAGTTGTGCTTCTATCTAGGCACCTGGCCGTTTGTATTCGGAGACTGTGTAACCAAAATCACTCTGCATCACGGGGGATGGGAATCAGCAAGCAAAATTCACCACCAACCCTTTTCTCAGGATCAAGAAATTGAAACTGATATCTTGAAATCAGGTCCAGTGGCAACCCAGGGTTGGGTCACAGACCGGAAGAACTAAAGTACCGGGAGTGGAGAATGGACAGGTCAAGACCGAAACACGGGACAACTAAACATCGCAGTAGCGAACAAATGAAAGAACCGAACAAGGAAGAACGAAGCAATGCTCGAGGGAGTACAGAAAACAACGAGACAGAAGGACCGAGCGACAGAAGGGGCGCGGCAACAACAGAAATACCGAAAGAACAAAAGTGCAGCAAAGAGGAAACATGCAGACCCATGGGCAGGCCATTCAAAGAGAACGGCCGGACATCAGAATGAAAAAGGGTGCTATCAAGAAAAGCTCGAAAAAAGAAACAAGTTCCAGCAACAACTAGCCAAAACGGAGAGACGGCGACGACGATTGCGACTGACACCAAGACTACTACTACTACTACTACTACGACCACTACTACTTCTACTTCTACTACTACTTCTACTACTACTTCTACTACTGGATGAATCCCTTCCAAGCCGATCCGAGCATTGTGCTGGCAGACGCAGACCCCCTGCTTTGTAAAGCCTTGGACAGCTTGCGTTCAGGAACCTCATGCTGGCAAAAGAGGCATTGCTTCAACAGTCTTCAAAACGCTCGTTCGAGCATTGTGTTTGCAAATGCGGCAGTCAGCCCACACCCTAGCAACTAACTTTTCGCGGAGGCCTGGCATTCATGTCATTGAAGATCCTCATGACTGTGGCGTTAAAAGGAAGTGTGTCGAGACTCATCTGAATCCTGTCCAAAACCACCATGGGCGTACGTCCATCGGCCACAGGAGACACATTGCCTATTCACACATCACGATTCTCCAGTAGCATGCTGCAAGCAGGATGCCGAACTGCACCATCCAGCTCATCAGACGGATACAACTAACCCGTCTCACGGGGCTTTAGCTAAAGTTGTAGGATGATGTGTTGCGAGCTTCAAGGACTGGGAATTCTTTAGTTCCAGCTTTGGGAGCCCTTCGAAAAAATATTGGCAGTTTGCAATGCATCTGTGTTGATCCTCTCTGATTTTTGTTGATGATTTGGGCGACTACGGCTTGTCGGAAATTCGATCCTTAAGGTTCATGTTTCCGATTTCATCTTTTGATCCGGTGCCTGTGATTCCTGGACGAGACTAAACAGTCGGGTAACCTTCTCTGTACAATCTGTCACCATGACTATATATCTGAATTTCAACAACATGTTCTGTTGCATTGATTCAAAGGCTGCCTTCTATTTTTTTTCGAGTTGCCGTACGTCTGTTTGTATCATCTTGAAACATTGACATTACGGTGCTTTGCAGGTTGACAGTTGACAGCTAAGCCTTTGACAGAGCTCAAGAAGGCACGGACAAGCAACACAGATATCTATACAATGCTACAGCGCCAAAAGATTGAAGGATACTGCAGAGGTATCCTCAGCACAGCAGAGTTCATACTGTTGAGGTTCCACTTTGCAAGAAATACATGCTAACGAAAATACTGGTACGACTGACATCATTTCGTTTGCTCAATCTCAATGACAGACAATCTCCTGAAGATTCAGCTTGAGGAATTAGATCTGTGGGTCTGCGATGTTTTCGTACACTTGGCTTATTGACATTGCTCCGGTCCAAACCTTTGGACCATGCAAAGCCTTCGAAAGAAATACAACTGTCCCTCAAACCAAAAGCTTCAGCTGGAACGGTCAAGGTTCATCAATGTTTGGGTTCGAACCGTAAAGCCACGGCACTGCAGATTTTGGCCGTCTCGGGCAGTAATTAAAGTGTAGCAAGGCTCAACAAGTTCGCGGAGCATCTCGAGCGCCATCCGCGGCTGCTTGTGAGTCGAGTGAAGCTGATGCGAGTGGGAATGCGAGCTTCGCACGACTAAGTGCGGGCTTGAGCAATTCATCGTGGTGCATCCGGTTTAGCCTTCGGTACCTTGATGGTAAACCAAGACTACAAGAGATCATCCTGTATAGCGGAGACCCTCTCTGAGCAATTTCGCAGAGTGGCTCTGCGGTGGCAGTGGTGGTGTTGGCAGCAGTAGTAGCCATTGCAGTAGCAGTACATCAGTAGCAGTACCAGTACCAGTAGCAGCCGCAGTAGCAGTGCTATTTGTGGAAAAATATGACTATTACAATTGTTATTAGTATTGGTAGTAGTAGCAGCACTAGCACTTGCACCAGCACCAGCACCACCACCACCACCACCACCACCACGACTACTACTACTACTACTACTACTACTACTACTACTACTTCTCCTGCTACTACTACTACTACTACTACTACTACTACTACTTCTCCTGCTACTACTACTACTACAACTGCTACTAGATCTGCTCTGTTACTGCTGATGCGATTTGCTACTTCTGCGAGGAGGAGGGCGACCACCGCTACTGCTGTACTACTGCTACCGCTACCGGCAAGTACCGAGTGTTTGGTGGAGTAGTAGACAAGACGGGCCAAGACTTGTTCCTCCTTTTCCACCCTGCCACCTGCAGACAGCCCAGCTGTCAACGGTAGCCCAAGTCATCCACTAACTATGAATGCATCTTGCATGACGAATCCTCAATGCATCTATTCAGCTGCCGTCGAAGCTGAGTGAGTTTGATTTTCAAGACCATTCTGGGCATCACAAAACTGAATGCTTGCGCTCCAATCAGGGCGCACTAGCTGGCCCAAGTCTTCTGATCTTGCTTAGCCTTCCGTCAGCATGCTGTCTCAACATGACTGCATATTTTGAGGCTGAATGCCAGACCGTCGCTCTAGGAGCCACCAATGACCTCCGGGGCAAGGAACTTCCTTTTCATTTAAATCGGCCTCGCCGAATGTGTGAGGCAGGGCTGGAAGCTGCAATCCTACAAGCTGCGGCTTGCTGCATGGCTCCTAATTTTTGCAAGGTCTTGCTGTCCAAGGTGCTTCTTGTTCCGGCAGTGATTGCAGCAGACAGTCCACTTCGCGACTGCACGAGTGAAGTGGCTGCGTATCTTTTGGAGCGGTCATGATTACTGCTTTTTTGGTGCCAGGGTGCTTTGCAGTGTTGTAGCTTGTTCGTACAATGTTTACCATCTTCAGACTTTTCCATGCTGACCATTGTTAAGCTCGAGTGTCGTCAGCAGAAACGATCGTCCGTTTTTGGCGCTGATGGCGGAACGGACCCGACTTTCACTTCAGAAGCAAGCAAACGCACGCACGCTCAAGCACATGGACACCATGCCTTTCGACTCTGACGGCTGTGTCTGCGAACCCTGTTCAACCAGTATTTACCTCGGCCAAAGTGCGAGGCGAGTCAATGGCAGAACCCAGTATGCCGGTATCAAACCTGCTGCAGATGTTGCTGCCGTCAGCGTCTCTGATCATTGTCTAGAAGAACGGAGTGCATTTTGAATTTTGCAGGCAAGGACTGCTTTATGACCCGAGGAGCGATGCGTGACATATCGCCGCATGTCCTCCATTGTCACAGTCGAGCCATGCTCCTGTCCTCCTGACCCCAGCCTCAGCCCACATCCATGGCACTACTCCAGTCCGGCGCATGCAACGAGAGGGAATAGGCCGTCCGACATGCAACCGGCATGTCAGTACCTGGTCAGGCGGAGCAGTTGACATGGCCGGAAATGGGAATCACGCTGTGTCCCAACATTTTATCAAGCGCCGGGGTAACCCTGAGTCTCCGGCATGCTGGCACTGACCAGAGCATGGAGTTGTTCAGGGTACCACGGAGCTCCCAGATGCTCAAAGCTTTCGGGAGTAAGTTGGTTCCGTATAATCGCTACTCGAGTGCATGCGAGTTCCGACACTGTATACTGCGGCCTGCCAATCGAGCTTCAGCTTCTTGAGCATACAATTCCAAATATTAGACTCAAGACCTAGGAGACCTAGGACTTCCTGTTTCAGCTGCATTGCTGCATCTCGCATTGGATACCCACTGGGCTTGCGAAGACCAGATGTCCGACGCAGAAAGAGAGAAAGATGCCCACGGGCATGACCTCTACAGCTCAGGGTTTGAGGCGCTTCTGGTGTTTGCGTTTTGGGGCTGGTAGACTCGATGGAGCTCCCGCCCCTCATTCGCCCCTTCTGATGAGGATGTTGCAATATGTTGCAGATCCGTACCGAAGCTGAATTACCGCGATTCGACACACGAACTTGACTCACGGGAACTATCATGCTGCGGCAAGGAGCAGCTTGGCAGCTTGCGAAAGGCTGTGGAGGATGCCTTTGCACGGCTGGTCCTTGCAGTTGTGTTGTGGCCGCTCCAGTCATGAACTTGTCCAGGCCAGCAAGTTTTCCACGGAATTCTCAGTCGTGTTTAGTCTCAAACCAAAGTGTTCCGGGCAGCCCGAGCCCCGACTTGAAGCGTACGTGGCTGTCAGGAGCTCAAGGACCGTGTGGTGCAGCTGACGGTCCGGAACGAGCGCGAAGAAATGGTCGCTTTGCATGACATGTCGGGCAAGACGTTAATTAGTTTGAATGTTGAGTGAGCTAAGGAGTCTGGCAACGCTCGCCGTGCCGAGTCTGAGGACAGACGATTGAGCCACGTCGTTTTGCCTTGGAAGGGCTAAGTGCGACAGAATTGATTTGCCAGCTGCCGCAGGTGCGGAAGCGCATCACCGGCCAAGAGGAGAAGATGCAGAACCTCAAAGATCAGGTGAGACTGCCGGGTGCAGTGATCGCCGCTGGTCATTGTAGACGGAAGGGCCTTAGCCTTTAGCCAAAGAAACAGTCCTACGGATGAACTGAAACAATAGTGATTACAGTAGCAGCAATAGTAGCGCCATTGGTTTAAGGGTTGTTTGTTCTCTTAGGAGGTTTGGGGATGCAATTCTGCCCAAATTCTTAAACTTCTGTGCGATGTTAACGACGTTAAAGCCACAGGACTAGAAACAACGCTGAGAGATGCTGGACCATAAACTCCAAATCTCAGCCCTGAAGCCTTCACCTCGGACTTCCGGATCGTTTGCGTGCAAACTAGCACTGCTAGTACGTATTGCCAGTTGCCGCTGACACTACGTATGTGTACTGGCCCTGGTACTCCGCATAGCATCACCAGCAGTATGACTCCTAATCAATGGCACAAGTACTTGTGCTCTTTTCTTCATTCTCCTCCTCCTCCATGCTAGTGAGTGCTCCTGTGGATGGAGGAAATATTGCACCGCTTTTAGGATCCGTTATGTAGCTTCACCCCGCGCCCCCTTATCAACATTGCTATGAACACGGGGATTTACAATATCGTTCTGATGACAAACCTTGCACAGCCTCACGAGATCGGTCGTCAATGTTAAAAAAGGGGTTCCGGGGATGTGTACCCGAAACAGTGTATATGAGGTGGCAAGATGTCCTCCATCCACCGACTCGACTGATGACGTTTCTAGAGGGTCGTGACATGGAGTGCGTGAGGTACTTTTGTGGCTTGCCATGGAGTACTGTTGCAGCAAAATCTGAGTCGCCGTGAAGTCCGTGCTCTAGACTCAACCCAGTCAGGTCGTTTCCCTAGCGCCCACTTGCACTCACCGAGTCGCAGCATGGACGGTAACAGCTGGATCCCCTACTTTGCTACATCTGGCACTGTAGGGATTTGCAGTTAACGTACCGTCAACGTTCAGTCAACGTTGCAGTCAACGTTCCAGTTAACGTCGCGAAAATGCTGGCAAGGGCAGCATTTTGGGGATTTCACGCATCAGAAGCAAGAGAAGCTTGTATTTCTTGATGTTTATGCTTGAAAACTCCAAAATGCTGCCGTGCCAGCATTTTCGCGACGTTAACTGGAACGTTGACTGCGGCTTGCATGTAACGTTCCGACTGCCAAGCGCCATTTGCCGCACAAACAGGTCGCACGCCTCTCCAAGCAGCTCCAGGACAGACGAGCCTGTCTATCAGTGCCACGGCTCCGTATCTCTAGAGAGGCACGAAGTTGCGTAGCTGCTAGCAGGCGCTGTGTTGCAGCCGGTATCGGTACTGTGAACTCTGACTGAGAAGACATCCTGGCTCTTTCAAGCTCAGTCGCACATGCGTGTATCTCCAGGAGCAGAAAGCGCAGGCAACCCACGAAGCAGCACGAGCAGGGGAGCTGGACCGGAGAGATCCAGGGATGCTCCATTTGCCAATCTTTGTGGGTCTCTCCCTCCCGCTCTCCCTCTCTCGCTCTATCAGTCGTTCACTCGTTTGCAGCACTGGGATGCGAGCATTTCCGCATCAAGCTGTCTAGCAAACAAGGCGAAGTTGTCGTGACATGGGTTTGGTGACGGCTCAGTCCACGTACTTGCAGTTACAGTATTGTGGTCCAGTGTGAATGTCATCGCCGTGCCGTGATGGACAGTTCAGAAGAGTACTTCAACTGCAAGAGAACTGACAAGAAAAACAGTTTCGGGGTCGGTAGCGCAACCCCACCCCCTCCCTTCACCTCCCCTTCCACGCATCAACTGGAACAAGCCAGCCTTCGCCCCCCCCCCTCTCCCCTGCGATCGGAACTCCAGCCGAGTTTAACCATGTGGGTGATTGCAACCGTCCACCGTCGGTTGCCTCCATGGCTGCATGTTTGGCTGTGCGATCATGACGCCGAAGAGTATGACATTGAGGCATCCAGCTGAAATACGTCTTTAGCCATCAACGTGTATGAGACGATGCGCGTTGCTTGTTCTATGTTGTTGGTAAGCACCCATCGGCCAATGCCTGCCACATGTGTTGCTGCGGCAGATTTGGAAGGGGAGCGTGCGAGTATGCACCTTTAGATGGACTGCACGCAGATGCTCCCCAATTTCAGCCTCTGCCTTTGCTAACGTGGACGCATAGGCTTCCAACTGATCGAGGAAGGTGCCCCGCCAGCCGCCAAGCCACAAGTAAACAAGAACGCAGCAGCACATACAACACACACTGGCTAAATGCAAGCCGTAGCAGCCCAAAGCTTTTCTGGCCCAACCCGCCTTCAGCTCCCAGGATTCACGGGAAGCAGCACTGGGACAACTTCTGGAGGCGATGTTTTAACAGGGCTTCAGACTTGGAGTTTTGGAGTTGGGGACAGCCCTACGTCGCGGAACCCCGCCATCATGAGGCTGTCCATGCTTCGTGTCAATCGCCGTCTTCCCATGCAGTAAACTTTTGGCCCGAAGCGTCGGAATCGTTTCCCTTTGCGCCCTGCTCTTGCCTGTGTTTCCAGAAAAGGAAAGAATTTCCCGAAAATAATTCTGTGGCTGCCACTGCAACCCAAATCAGCTGCTCAGAGCCCTTGTCAGCTCTGCGATTCACTGCTCGGCAGGCATCTGCCGCCCAGCTCGCGGAGAAGGCTGCTGAAGCTCGGCGCTTCGAGGCCCTCAAAGCGTGATGGAGTAAAGAGACTTAAAGCCTCTAAGCTTCGTCTGCGCTGCTGGGCTCAGCTTCATTCTGGACAGGAGCTGCTTCTTCGCCAAACGCGGCGGGCCACGGAGGCCGAAGAGGCGCTTTGGACTGAGAGACTTCTGAGACTTCAGGCTTCGAAGAGTCTGGTCCCTACGGTGCTGATATTATTTCTTTATTCAGACACTAAATCCGAAGTCCACATGCACGATGGCGAGCGGGCCTGGCAGGCGCTTCGAGGCGAGCGGGGTGTCGCTGAGGGGGAGGCCTCCTCCGCATCAAATCGCGAACATGCTGCACACTATGAGTGCTTCCTGCGTCAATCCAAGATCCCTTTTTGAGTCATGGAGAGTATTCGTCGGTCAGCAAAGATCTTAAGGCGCTTCCAGCCATCGTATCCAGTACTATAATCCCATGCCAAGAGTCCAAAGAGGCGCAGTGGTAAACAGCGAGAGCGCTTTCCTCGTGGACCTTGTTCACCAAGTTTAGAGAGAGAGAGAGAGAGAGAGAGACAGAGAGACCGAACTCGAACAGTGGCGTAGCGCTCGCGCGCAGGGGTGGTAGTAGTAGGGTTCACCCCTACTCCCCCATCCGCCTTGCAAGCAAGCAAGAGAGAGACAGGTCGCAACTTTTGCATTTCTACCGAGAAGTTAAATTCCAATTAATGCACTTGTCGTACATCGATCAGTTTCCCGAAAGACACTGGCTGAAACGTGTGAGCGATTCAGTTTTTGGGAGCTGTCAATCGCAGTGTCACTCCCCTTCAGAAGCCCTACGTCATGGGTTCAGGGTCTTTAAATCAGCACGCATGAGAGCGAGGGAGCGGTGCGAATGCGAATGCGATGCTCTGGAGAGACCAGCAACGGCGCGCAAGGTTGCTCCTTTGTCTGCTCGAAGAGGAAGAGACATGCTCGCGCACTCGGGCTCTGAAAATAGCTGCTCCTGCCTGGGAGCACAAAAGAGAAATCAAGCCCGGTCAACGGCTGTCACAGCTCGATGAGGATGTCATTCATCTGGCACAACCAGCGACTCGCGTGATTAAGCGAAAGAGCGGACTGCAAGGGGCACTCGCGCCTGTGTGGCACTTGTACCATGGGCCTTGCCGGCAAAGGTGATTTTCGCGGAGTCAAAGACAGAGCGAGACCTTCAGACTGCACTGCTCTCCTTTTTCAACCGAAGCCCAAGCCCCCCAGATACGCATGTCCACGGTCAGGTGAAGCTCGTGATGAAGGAGGGCCAGGCCACACATGACGCAGCATGACTCTGCCATCGGTCCGGGTAGGCACAATTTCGGAATGTGATACTGTGTCCGCAAATGATGTGTTCGGCGAATCTGTCTTGTCAGTGGAAGGGGCAAAGCTTGTCAATTCACAGCTTCATTAATGCTCTCGGATGGTCACACTGGATGTTTCAATCTTGGCAGCAACTGGAGACTTGCACGAAACTCCTGTTCGGGCATGTTCGGGCGCTATGCCGGCAACCGGTGAGATCCGGTGGGTCCTCGATTTCAAGCGTCCTCAGACAGCACACATCTCACAGCAAGGAAGTTGGTTGCGCAGGGAATTTCGACAACAGCATACCAAGTTGACGAACCGGCATACAAGATCTGCGAGAGGCAGAAGGATTTCGTTAACAACTTCTTACATAATACTGGAACGTGGGAACAAAGAACTTAGACCGAAACTTTCTGGGGATTTGGGAATCGTAGAAGATTTGGAAGTTTTGGAGACCTTGCCGTTTTCGCAAAGATGGATTTCTTCAGATTTGACCGAACACGGAAAACTTGGGAACTGGGACAGTTGGAGGGTCAGGGCTTGCATTGTTGCAAACCTGGAATGTTGTTCCTTTGTGGCCGGGCGTGATGAGATCATGTTCGAGCAAAGACATTATGGATCTGGAGTTGTGTCAGCGTCTGCAGTGTGCAACTCGTCGCACTGCCGTCCCCAACTTGTAGTACATGGTATTTCTCGGACCTCTTCTTGAGGCTGCCGCGGAGGCCAATGCCCGACGTGTCGGAGCTCTCCTCGAGCGCCTGGAAGCGCTCCAAGTTTCTTGGCTCTTCGTAGCGCTTGCACTGCGTTGAAGAGGAAGCCTAAGCTCCCCGTCTCGTTGTGCACACTTTAACTTGAGTCTGCTGAACTCTGAAGGTGCATCAGTGTAACATGCATCTAGTTGCTATAGGTCGTTATAAGGGAAGCTAGTTTACCAGATCAAATCCAGATTGGTCGGATGCCCTCTCATTCGCTGAGTTCATTTGAAGCATTCTACATGACGACAGCACGCACATATCAAGGGCAAGTGGTCAACATGTCGTGTGCTCTCGCTATACCACCGAGACTGACCGCGTGGTGCTCTTTTGCAAGCACCAGATGTTCCCTTCAAGCTGCGAACCTCCCACCTTTTTTTGGACACAGAAGTCTTTGCCGCGGCCGTCCAGCGTCAGAATTTAATTGGCTCCGAAGCACTCCATCAAGTATCCCTGACGCCCTGCCCAACCATATCTTGGCCGGCTTTGCTCAACCCGTCTAAAACGTGATCCTCCATCTTCCCAAGCATGATGTAGCATGTTGCACGACTTCTTCTTCGTAGTCTCATTTCTCCTAGAGAGCTGCTATGGTATGGTCCTCGCTTCTGGCGGCCCTGGCGCTGTTCTGCCTTGCGCCTGCAAGCATGCGTGCGGCCAGGGACGACAAGGCCAGTGCAATTCACGACAAGAGTCGACAGAAGGATGGTGTGGTATAGTATGGCAAAGTCAGGCATGGTGAGACAGAGAGCTTGGGTCGTCATAACTGCCCCGTGAAAAGATGGACTCTATCTGATAGGGCGAAGCATGACGGATGAAGGAAGAGAGCCGTTGAACATAATCTGATGGAGCGGAAGCTGGAGCTCAAGTGCTGCAGCTTCAGGGAGAGGCTGCCCAGGGTTGCAAGCATTGGGACTACGTTGGGGCTCATTGGCACGGACATGTGAGCATCAGACGTCCGAATATTGCGACTCATGGTGTTGTTATCTCAATCTGAGTGTGTGTGTGTGTGTGTGCGTTTTTGCGTAACGTCTGTGTAGGTGTGCGTGATTGCATGCGTGTGCTGCTGCTTCTCGATTTCAATGCCACCCTGTAGGTTTGGCACTCTGCCCAGAGTGCTGTCTAACGGAACTTACGAAGACCAATAGTCGCCGTGAGATGGGCTGCCGGCGGTTGAGTGACTGGCAAGAATAAAACACAGGTCCTAGGACGGCAAATCAGGAGAAGCATCACTTCTTCCAACACGTTGCTGCAGACCCTCGCCTTGCAATTCTTAGGGCCGTGAATGATGCTGACGATGAAAACTGTAGGTTTTAAGCATCCATGACGAACATCCGAACTTCCATCTCCACATGTGGTTTTGAGATGTTTGCATCCGAATATCTGCCAACACATGTGCACTAGCCGACTTGCAGTGATGGCTGCCGGATTGTCGATCATCACCTGAATCATCAAGTAGCCGTGACATGCCTGATCGCGCCTGACCTGACCTTTGGGATCAGGGTCTGGCCTGCACATCCCCCGTCTCCACTCCCCCTCTCCCGGTTCCTTCAGGATGCTGAACCCATGCAGCTGCTCCAGAAGATGCAGAAAAAGCGGGGACAGGCCGGAGGTTCTCATGATGTCACCTTGTGGCGTTATGGTTACTCATGTTATGTATGCACGTATGTGCGTATGCACGTATGTGTGTGCGTGCGCGCGTGCGTGTATGTATGTATATATGCGCATGCATGGGTAAATATGTGTGTGTGTGTGTGCAGTCGTAGCCAGCCGAAGCCTTGTTAGTTCTATGGTGCAGCAGGAAGCCGTCTTACGAGGCTTATGTTCAGACTCGCACCCGAGCGTGCAGGCGGGACATATTTCATGACATCCGAAATAGTTCATCTTCGGAATAGTTCATTTCCGATCGCAGCATCAGTCTTGCCTACTGTCCGGACCCGATGAGGCACGAGCATAACATAGGCTGCAAACTTCATGGAACCAACCTGAGACATGACAAGGAGCCGGTGCCGCCTGCTGGGGCGATCAGGGAGATTCTCGTTCAGAAGAAGCCGTCCGGAGGGCTCTTCATGGTGTTCCACTTCCCACTGAGCTTCAACTCCCACGTGCCAAGGCGAAGCAACATAGCCCATCTAGGTCTGCCTGCAACCACAAACCAGCACAGCCCTAGATTTGATGACCCTGGTAACTTTTCTAATTTCCTTGGCCAGATGTCTTTACCTGCCCTGTAGTCCTGTCAGCTTGAGCCGCGGCCTCTCAGATTTAAAGCTGAATAGCTGAAGCAGAGGTGCTGTACTGGCGGCGCTTCGGTGTCGATGTGCCAGCAGACATTGGTCGCTGTCAGAGCTCCGGCTGTCCAGTCCTGGTGGATTTCCCTGGCTCAGGCTCCACAGGGTGATCTTGCGGAACAGTTTGTGTTTGAGGGGACTGTGAGAGACTCGCTTTGGAATGTGAGCTCGCTTGGCCAGGCGGCTCTCTTTATTCACAGCGCGGCTGGACACAGTGGTATGCCTATCAAGATCAGCTGGAAAGTGAGCCTTTTCTGCTGGTGACTATGGAGGGTTCCCCAGATGCGATGGGGGTTCCTGGGCAGGAGATCTTGCCATGCAGCCCTGAGCAAAGTCCTCGGGAGTGTGCAGATGAGTCGTCTGGGGGAGATGGCTACACGTCCTGGAACGTCTTAGGGTGGGGCGTGCCTACCGACTTGCAAACAGATCCAAACAGCTCACTTCTCTCTGCCTGTTTCCCGGCGGCCGTAAAGCCCTGGAACTCTTACCAGTGCTTCGCCACGCACCTGCTCAACAATCCGAACGCTTGCCACAAGGCGAGGGCCTGAAAAGTCACGACAGGTGTAGATCAAAAAGCTGAAGACCAGAGAGAGCAGAGAGGGGGAAAACGGAGAGATTAAGATTGAACGCGTGAGGTGTCCGAGGCCCATCAGAAAGCCTGGTCCGCATACAGCCAGACTCCTCGTCTTGTTGTCCAGCATGGCTGTGCTTTTTTCTTTTGCTCCGATTTGTCAAGACTGCTTGCGGTTGCAGTCAAGTCGTTGATAGGGAGTGCAACGAAGTCATGTTCAAGAACAAGAGCCGGTGACATTCAAAGGATTCCCACGAACTGCATCAGTGCGAGTGGGGCCAACGACTGGGACTACGTGCGGACAGTGCTCCAGGTAACCAGGACAAAAAAAAACGGGTTTTGCCGAGGTTTCAGTCTCCTGCCCTGCAGGCGGTGACAGAAGGTGCTATTTGTCGTGCCACCGTCCCCGGGGGCTGGTGTGGAGACAGGACTGACGATATTGCCATTGCTTTGTGTTTCCTGAGCATCGGTGTGTCTTTCATTTCGTAGGACAGGGTTCGGATTAGGATGGGCGAACGTGCAAGCGAATCCGATCCTAACCGCTCATTGTCGAGGTCCAGGATTTTTTTCAGCGGCCAGTCCATGGGCGGCATGTCTGCCCTGCAGTTCGCCACACCGGATCCAGCATCAAGGCCCCTCTGAAGCCAGAGGCGCTCCTATCGCAAGGCTTTTCCTGCGTGCTGTGGTTTTGTCGAAGGTATTTCCTGGGGTCTTGGCGGCCCGCGGCTGTTGCGGCGTGCAGCCCGGGCGGATCCCGTAACAACGACCTGGAGCTGAAGGGCCAGGTCCCCACTTTGCTGCTTCAAGGCCGGGGCTAAAAAGCCTTGCTGTACGCTTAAGTGCTCGATGTTTGTTCTTCGCCCTGCGGAGGAAGCCGTGACCTTGTTGCTGTGCCAGTTCCTTGGGCTGGGCACGACCGGGACCTGGTGAGAATCACCTTGACATCCACTTGGCAGGGCTTGATGACCAACGATACGCTGGTGCAGCTAGCGCTTCGGTCGTTGCCTGCAGAATATCACAACTTTACAAAGACTTCCATCCTTCTATTGGCAGACGTCCGGCAGGGTGGGGCGGTGCTGCTTGAGCACCTCCCCAACTTGACAGATGCTGCAGGTTTTCCAGATCGAAAGGGGCGGATGACCGGAATCAGCGCGGGTGCCATGGCCCAATAAGGCTTCCGACGACTAATTGGGTCCGCGAGTGGAATTCTTTGTCAAACCAATCCTCCAAGTGTAGCTGAACATATTAGTTAGTGCAAACCGCTGTCAGGTGGATACATGTGGGAGCCTGTGCCCACCACTTTGCAGCGAATTGTCGGGAAGGAAGTTGAGACGCTCAGCTAGTCGGTGCGTGTCCCCAGCACTTGGTCCAGCATTCTTGGGTTATAGTCTGCCCGGTAGAACCTTTAGAGTCTTATAGGGAGAGTCAGATCTGCTCGAGGATGGCGCAGCTGACCTACTGGACGCCCCATGCTCTTTCCAGTGATCCCGTGGCGATAGCGCTCCAGTGTGCCAATGCAACGGCCATGGCACGTGTCTGCATCTTCCAGGGAGGTCCGGACCTGGATTGATTAGGGATTTCATCCATGTCGCTCGCCTTCTCTTTTTGTATAATTAGACTCATGAGCGGCTGTGGGTGACCGAGAAATGAGGCCTTTCGCCCCTGTGCCCTGTGAGGCCACACCTATCCCTTCCTGAAGCCGAACGGCTTCGAAGATGACCCCAGCAAGGCGAGGGCTTTTCATGAGCTGCTCTGGGTGGACTGGTTCCAGAGAGGGAGGAGGACGCGACGTCCCCAACCGACGGAAACTCTGACAGCTGTGGGCAGACGCATGCTGCCAGATGACGTCAGAAGCGACTGACCTCGTACAAGGAGAGCAACGTGATTTTCTTGGAATCCATGGTCCGAGAGATTTTGGCATGGGCAAAGATCCCATTCATTCTACCGGGCTGTGCTCATTCGTGTGCGGAAAAAGGTCGAACAAACAGTCGACGGTCATGGTAGACAGCATTCGAGAAAGATGGACCCTCCGACCAAAAACCAGCACCATGGCTAAATTCGGGCACAGAGTCGGCGCAGAGCGGCCCTATTGGCACATCTGCCTGCAAGGCTGAGCGCTTGGAGCTTTCATCCAAATTGCACGGAGCGGAGGCCTGCTTGCCTCGGCTGAGGGCGGGAATTTGCGTCCAAACTGACAGAGGGCATCGCGGACTCAAATCTTAGCAGAGCTCGCACAGTGTTGCAGTATGCACGGATTAAATTAATGCCACTGGCAAGTCTCGCTGAAAGTCCTCCCCAGCAGCTACAGTACAGTACTTCTTTGCAGATGAGACGTGTTCTGGAGGCCGCACTGGCGGTGCTCCGTGGCACTGCACGGGGCGGGGCCTCCGTCGAGGCCGTCGCGAACATGGCAGCGCTGAAGGCCAGGAGCATCCCGCACAATGACTGCTTGTACTTGCTCGCCACAAGCGTTTGTGTTGTGAAAACCTTCTGAAGCATCCTGATTTGTCGGTGAGGCATACTTAGCATATAGCTGCGGTTTAAGACCCTGAAAAGGAGCGGTTGCGCGAAGAACAAGATCTGCGACAGGCTCTGCAGGAGGAGGCAAGTGACGAGCATGGAAGTTCCATGGCACTTCATCCCACAGATAAGCGAAGGCATACTATGTCCGTCTCTGCTGTATATGCGTCATCCGATCTTGGGCTTGCATTTATTGACTGATCGTGCAGCAGGCCAGACATACATTCCGAAGATCACACAACCTGGAGATATGGGACAGTTCTGTGATATTCTCTGCGCACCTGAAACTAAACTGCCCTACGCGCCAGTTGAGACGACCGGAGATGCATCGCCCGTTGCCAGAATTCGTTCTTGCCAGGTGAGAGATCTCAGCACTCAGCTGGAGATGGCCGGGCCCAGGCATCGATCCAATATCAAAGCTCCCTCATTTCGTTTGAGAATTTGAGTCCGCCGCATGATGCATCAGAAGCAGCACCTTTCCGGGCGCGTCTCGATAACGAAGCATCCTACCAGTACCCTGTGGCATCCGATTGGCCGAGTTCTGCGCAGGGTGGATCAAAAGACGCTCTCTTCTCCCTCGCCTTTGCGGGAGCTGCCATGCACTTGGTGTTCTTCCACGCATGCCTAAAGAGGCGACCTCGGAGCCTCTTGTCAACCAAGGACGTCACAGGCTCCAGGCTCTCCGCTGCCCTGGCCTCGGAACGCAAAGAAGGACAGTTCTATTTTGTGCTTCATCTTTCGCAATTGAGATTGAGAAGTTCAGTTTATCTCAAAAGCAAACCTCTGGACCTGTTCCCAGTGCTCTTGTCGCCGAGGCGCCAAGGAACGAGTCGTTCAGGCTCGGGTTGGGATTTGGCTTAGGCGGAGCTTGGGTTGCACGGAAGGCCTTGGGGCCCACTCTTCGGAACAGCGAGGGATCATTAGTCATGGCACATCGCAGACCTTGGCTTCAAGCGCAGCCGGCAAAACAAACACCTGCCGGTGGCCATCCGGAAAGGGGACGGGGGAGTACAGAACTCAGCACTGTTCACCTTCATATTAAGAAAGGCCCCTCCCCCCCGCCAGCCCCCCAAGGATGTAAGCCCCAGCCTCCGTACTAAGAGTCCGGATCCGGCGTGAGAGCCATTGACCTCCAGGAGCCTTAATTCCTCTTCAGTTCCTTTGAGCTTTCACTTACATATATGAACAAGATCCTGGTTGCATTTTATCCGCTGCGGCCGCCAGGATTCTGCAAATACCGGGGGGGGGGGGGTTCTAAGTACATTCTGGGAATTACTTCGGGGATTCTATATACTGAGGTTGACATTATGGGGGGCAGAGTCCGACTCTAGTTTTCTCATGGCGTCTCGGGGTCGGGGCTGTTGTTTTCGGACAAGTGAAACGTGAAACACCTTACGTCTTCTAATATGTGAGCTAGGATGGTGTGTTTCCAAGACCGAGCCATTTTGCATCTGCCGTTTCAGCCTCATTTTACCATTCCTGGTCCAGTCTCCTCGCGTCCTGTGTCATCAACAGCGCCTCCAGCAGGCAGCCGCTCCCCGCCTGCCTCGCGCTCGCCGGCACCGCGCTCCCTGAAGCAGGCACCGAATGGATCTAAGCCGATCAAGTCAGTTGCGCGATGCTCTGCTGAGCTACCGCACTGCAACATGCCAAGTGCATGCAAATGACCCGGCGTAGGTGAGTAGGCATTTCATTACACTTCCTGTCGGATCGAAAGCTACTGGTCTACGTTTGAAGCTGGAGGCGGCGTAAAACATATCATTGAGCAATGCGCAGTGAATGAATATTCTGAGTTCGAGATAGCACGAGTGAGGAGTCGACGGATGTCAGGGGGCCCTGTCGTCTTCTAGTGATGTCAGGTCAAAAGTTTTCACAACTCCCTCTCAGTTGCAGCTTTTGCCTTGAGTTCAGGCCAGTGAGCTCGCTGTCAGTCCCTCAGCCTTAGACGAGCTGAAGTCCGGCGCCAGCGGTGTGCATCTTTTTTTGTAGTGCTGTGTGCAAGCATCTCTCAGGCTCGGTGTGGGCAGCTTCAGGCGCCTCTGCGCAACAGACGACAAGCTGTAGTGTACTTTCTCCGTGCCAACCTTGAGACACTAGAGATGATGGTAATGCCGGTCTGTGGCCCTGTGGCGGGAGGCAGAGGTGGCCGGCCTGAAGGCCCGTTCGACAGTTCTGGAGCAGGAGACCGGACAGGGTCGGTTTGTCTCAACTTGACCGCTGACGGACAGTCGCCACTGCATCCGTGTCGAAGGAGAACGACGATTTAAAGCTGCGAGTGGCCTCTGATGCGGATCCTGTGCTTGGGCCTCAGCTCGAAACCAGGTTCGGTTGACTTTTCAACAACTTGACCAGTTGCATCCAAAGCAATTCCCAAGCTTGACGGCCTCCAGTTTCTACTAGCAGCCACTGACACCCAGCAGTACTCGCAATCATTTCGTCGTGCTGTTCCTGCGCACGCGAATGCCCTGGGAAGAAGTTGCGGCGTGTGTTATAGTAGTGAAGACATGCGCACTGAAATCCCCCCTTGACCCTGCCTTCCGCAGCTCCGCCTTCTCAGGAGCGCATCGGCTGAGATGGAGATGCTCCGAGGCAGCCTGGAGAACGTGAACGCCGGGAGCCACAAAAAGGACGCTGAGCTCAGACTCTCGGAGATTGCGACCCGTCGCTATTGCGGAGCCGAGGCCCAGAACCGTGTTCTCGCGACGGAGATCGAGGCTTGGCCTCAAGCTCTCTTTAACGCACGTCGTCCACAATAGTCTGGTGCTGCAGACCGGCTCGCGACAAGTTAATGATAAGGGACCCCGTGTCAAAGGCCGGTGCAAGCAGATGGAGTTTATAGGGCCAGTATAGAGACTGACAGAGATCTGGCATAGCGTGATGCATGCCATGCATACACTACGTATTACGTATACAATCACAACATCCGCATTCAGGGGGTGCCACATTCCAATTGAATGATCCAGCTGCACATCACGCTGCTGAGCGGGCAATCGACGACTCTAGTGGCAGACGCAGCCATCCAGGTAGAAGCTCTCCGGAGCCAAACTTCAGAAGAGCTCCAGGCGGGTCTCGATCTAGGCTTCCCTGGCTAGTCCCCGTTTCGACGTTCGACAGGTTGGGGTGGTTGCTTTGGTCACAGCAGCAGGGCAGCTCCTGGATGGCAATGGCCGGGCCACACTGGCCGAGGCTGGCCTCGCGCACGGCGACACCTTGAGCGCCCTTGTGCGAGATGCTCGGCCTCTCGGTACAAGAGACGGGCCTCAAAACGCGAAGGGAACCTATATATGTAGTACCGACTTACACATGAGAAGTAGGTCCTTCTAGGAGGTGTTTCATGTCCATAGGAAGTTTCAGTCGCAGAATGCTGGCGAGAAACACAACAGACTAGACTGTGGATTCCGATGAAGTCTACAAGAGTCCCTGAAGCCGTTGTCCGGCGCCAACATGATATGGCTGAAGGATTGTGACCAGCCGCAACTCAGAGGCCTTCGCGTTGCTTCGTAGCGATGGATCTGTGGTTACTTGGGGTCTTCCATTGGCGGGCGGTGACAGCAGTGCGGTTCAAGATCTACTCGCAGATGTGCGGGAGATCTGCGCTGCCGACGAGGCTTTTGTTGCCATCTTGGGCAACGGTACACTGGTGACCTGGGGGAGCCACTTTGGCACTCACTGCGGTGGCTCTGGGGGTCTAAGCAATGTTCAGAAGGTGGCAGCCTCGAAAGCAGCCTTCGCGGCTCTGATGTGGAACGGAGAAGTCTTCGCATGGGGGGACCCAGAGTACGGAGGGGACAGCAGCTCCGTGCAGGAGCAGCTCCATGGGGTCCAAAACCTCCAGGCCTCAAGTTCTGCCTTCGCCGCCATTCTGGACGATGGAGGCGTGGTGACCTGGGGAGATGCAGACTCCGGCGGCGACAGCAGCGAGGTCCAGACTGAGTTACTGGATGTTTGCCAGATCCAGTCGTGCGATGATGCCTTCGCTGCCATTCTTGGCAATGGCTCCGTCGTAAGCTGGGGCAACCCACGATTCGGTGGTGACAGCAGTTCTGTGCGGCACAAACTTGTGCACGTGCAGTCCATTCAGAATTCTGATGGGGCTTTCGCAGCACTCTTGAAAGATGGAAGCGTCGTGACATGGGGAAATCCGGATTACGGTGCAGACTCGAGCAGGGTGCAGGAGGAGTTGCAGGATGTGCAGGGGTTGTGTGCTTCGGGTGGTGCTTTTGCAGCACTGAAACAGGGCCGGGTCGTTACTTGGGGAAGCAAGCGGTGTGGTGGAGACAGCAGGGAGGTACAGGAGCAGCTGCAGCAGGTGCGCGATGTCCGGGCAACGAATGCAGCCTT